TTTCATAAGAAACTCTGACTTGTTTATCTTTATAGCCCTGGTGCATAGTACTCCCACCCAACATGTAGTAATCTATGTCAACGGTTTGTGCTTTCATTCCCTCATCAGCCAAAAGCAGAAAACATTCCTTGTTCTACCTGATAGGGGTGTCAAACATGAAATGAGGTAATTGAATATGAAAGTACTTTTGGAAGTTAGACACAAACAATATTGGTGGGATAAAAAATCCAATAATATATCATACCAGGACCTGGTACTTTCACAAAATACAATGAAAAAGCATGATAATATCAAATTGCTACTAAAGTTTTGAAATTTTTACTCTCACTTTTTATACTTGCTCACCATTAGTGGCAGACAGTTCTTAGACTAGCTCTGGTCCACAAACCATACTTTAAATAACAATAGTTTAGTTGGTTTTACCTTAAAACTTACTATATATTAGTTTTCTTTACTTGTTAGTTTATAGTCAGTAGTTAATGTAATTCACTAACACATTAACCATTTTGATAGGCCTTGCTGTAACTTGCTGTTACATCCCACATCTTCCTTTTGGAATGATGCAGATGCTCTTTATCTGTATCATTCAATAAAGATAAAAGTCTGTGGATAAGTAAACCTTAAATATGTGTATATTTAAAATAGTCTCTTTCACCCTTACTCTTGACTAAAAGTTTACCAGAAACAGAATTATACATTTAATAGTCAATAGCACTTTGAAGATACATTTCTCCTGGTATCAACTATTACTGATGAGAAGTCTGCTCTAGTTCAAAGGTAACATTTCCTTTCTTTCTGCTGTCTTTTAAGATTTCTTTTTAAATGATCCTTAAAGATCTGCAGCTTCTCTCAGATGTCTTGTTTCTGCTTCCTTTAGTGGTAGGGAGAGTCCTACTTCAGCTTCTATACTGCTCATTTAAGTGTGCATTTCATCCAGAGGGACCCATCTTTCAGCCACCTATGCCCAAGGCTTCTGCTTCTGCCTACTTCTTCAGGTTTCTATTCCATTACTGTTCCAGAGATGTTTATTACCCTGCTTTTTGCTTCTTTGTTTTAGCAAGGTATGCCTCTTTAAGCTCCTCTGACTTGACCAATCCTTGCTTTTGGTTTGGTGCAGAAGAAGCCTCAGAGTGTGCACCAACAGTGGAAACACTGCTTATGGCCTTCTTTAAAAAAAAAAATGCTTTTTCAGCTTCAGCGTCTGTGTCAGGTGTTCATTTGAAACCTGGTACAGGGGCAACATAAACTGGAGTTTTAAATTTACAAAATTCATTAACTGAAGGACTAAGAAATAAAATGTACCATTTACTTCAATCACATTCGATAAACATATATTGATCATTTGGTCTTGAAACCCAGCTCTGCTACTTAGTACTGTTAATCAAGGGAAAGTTACTTAACTACCTGCTGGCTTTCTCTTCTATAAAAAGCCAATTGTCAAAACAAAAAAGCTTTTTTGAAAAAAGCCAATTGTGAGGTTTACATGAGGTAAACTAAGTAAAGCTCTTAGAATATTGCCTACTATTATTATTAGCTCACTACATCAGCTATTATAATTATCATTAGAGAGAAGCACTCTGCACTCTCAAGTTTCCACACAGGAGAAAAAGTTCCCACTCAATTTCCCAGGAACAAAGGTCATAAAAAAGAACACTTCTAGTTTCCTCACTCACTCCTCCCAAGGACGGGCAGATGACTGTTGAGCTTGAGCAATGAAACTGAACACAACTGCCTTAGCTCTTCCCAGGTGCCCTCCCATTCAGGAAACGACCTGTCCAAAGCACTCAGAAATCCTACTCTTGACTTGAGAAATCAGGCTTTGTCTCTATAAGGGGAAGAACCCAGTTTTGCTTGTTTTGTTCTTTTAGGGGCAGAGGGGTTTTATCAATAATAAAACCAACATTCTGATCCCCATTTTTCTATCACTTGTCTTATTTCTAAACCGGTTCCAAACTCAGGAGGAGAATCGAGTATTAGCTATTGACCAACCCAAAACCTCAACTACTAATAGTATCTGGCTAGAGAGTTCTTAGGAAAATTAAATACAACAGCAGATATAAAGCTCCTAGAACAGTGTTTGATACATAGCGGCTTTCAAGAGATAATTAGATTTTAATATTATTATTATGTGCTACACATCATGCTAGATGGTGAGTTGGTTACCAGTTGCAAGAAGAGCTTAATTCTTCAACAGGGTCAGGATGGCTAACCCTGTAAATGGGACAGTACGAACAAAAGGAGTAGCAGCCCCACAATCCTCTCATTAAATCAAACATTTTAGTAAGCCAGCACCATGCCTCAAGAACTGTGAAGGCACTGGAAACTCAAAATTATATATGGAAATCCATCCCTAAGAAGTTCATAAACTAGAAAGAAACAGTTACACGGTGGTATATCTTTTGTCAAAGGTATACATAGGGTGTTGATATACTTAAGGAACTCAGAAGATGAAGGCTTTAAAATAAAGAAAGAAAAAAGCTTATCAGAGCTTGAACTGAATTTTGATGAAGTCACCTAGAACAGCTTCCATGTTACAAAATCCACAGAGCAAGTTTCAGTCTTCATCTTATTTGCCCACCCCTCCCCTTAAAAACCAAAACCCAAACAAAACAAAACTTCTCTTTATCTTTGGGGCTCTCAGATTCTACAAGAGACTTCACTGTCTTTTCCTTTTCTCTCACCACTCCTTCTCGGTCACCTTTTCCAATGGCTCCTTTAGAAGCTGGAAGTCCTAAGGCTTACTCAGCCCCCTTTTTCCTCATTGTTCAGCTTGTCTCTTGTCTTATTTGAACTCATGGTTTCAATGACTATTTGCCATTGGCCCCATTTTTATATCTCTAAATCACTTCCTTTCTCTGAACTCGATTCATATAGCCAAATGCCTACTTAACATCTGCATATGGGTATCTCAAAGGTATTTCAAAGTCCATATGAGCAAACCTTAGCCCGTAATCTGCCTCCACGAACCCTAGTCTTCCATCAGGGCCTCTTAGTTCTCTCGGCAGCGCCTGGCACCTTTGCCCATCCAGTTACTTCACCTGAATCAGAAACCCAAAGTCATCCTTAACACCTCCTTTTTCCTTATATCCCACATTCAAACCATTCCAAGTTCTAATGATTTTGCCTCCTTAAACTTTCCTAAATCCACCTTCTTTCTATCCTGTCATAATGCTGTTCCAAAGTTATCAACATCTCTTAACTGATACTCTAAAAGGCCCTCCTAAATGTCTTTACACACACATTCTTGCCTCTTCTACAATCAATCCTACTGCAGCCAGAGCGAAATTGTTACAATACAAATCTAATTGTATTTCTACCACACTAAAGACCTTCAAAACACCCCACCGCTTATAAGGTAAAATCCTTTGAAAGGCTCTGTATTGAAAAGGAGATTTCAATGAGTTCTTGTTTCTAAGGAAAGGAAACCCTGGTGATGCCCCACCCATATCCCTTCGCGTACCCTGGAGAGCACCTGCCTACAGTTCCCGCACAGTGGTGGATGCCTGTGACTCTCCTCTCCTGAGGGCATTGTCTGGGTGCAGGACTAAAATCAGCCATGCTCCCTTCCACTCTAAAGAGTGGAGCAGGCCGGGAACCAGTGATTCCGAAGCAGCCCTCAACCAGTGAGGGATGGAGGTACGTGGATGAAGAGTTTAGTTTTCTGTTCCCTCAGAGCAACCATTCTCAGGTGTGTTCCGTCCATTTTCTTAGAATGTCCCCAGAAGTATTAAACCCAAGTCACCCACAATTCATTAACTCACAATTTATTGGTTTTACCCCCTTTATATCTCATTTTTCTACCCCTTCAATGTCCTTCCTAGAATTCCACCCCAAATAAATTACTTGTACTGGAAAAAAAAAAAAAAAAGGCTCTGTATAATGTGGTCCCTGCTTACCTCTCCAGCTTCATCTGGTATTATTCTCCCTTGTCACTCTGACATTCCTTCAGTCCCTAAAACTCACCATGTGCCCTTCTACTTCATGGCCTCCCAACACATTACCCGTCTCTACCTGGAATGCTCTCTCTCTTCAGCCCTCACTCCTTTTACTTAATTCACATCCATTCATCTTCTAGATTGTAATTTTAAAACTCAAGTCCCCAAAAAGGTATTCCTAAGCCCCTAGAGTAGGTAAGGTCCTCATTACATGCTTCTATAGCACTTACCACCATTTGTGTTTATATATTTATCTGTTAGATTAGGTTACTTTATTAGTGTTTGTCTCTTCCATACATTCCATAACAGCAGGAAAATATCCAGTTGCTCACCACTGTACCCTTAGCACTTAAGAGCACATTGGCTGATATACAGCAGGTGCTCAGTACATAGTTGTTGAATGAATGAAGCATTCTAGAAACAGTATTTCAGACAAACAAAAATTATGAAGCAACATGATCATCAAGAGTAGATAATGTAGAAAACTCACTTCCCTGGTTTGTGGCTAGTATTAAGTGGGTTCAATATGTCAATTGTACCTCAATAAAAAAAAGTTCAAAAAAAAAAGGCAAAAAAGAAGAAAAAGGACAGGAATGATCTGGCATAGTAACCAGAGAGAGTAGGTACTTGGTAAATATAAATTCTCTTCCCTCTCCTTTCTCTAATCACCTTTAGAAATAAAAACAGCTCTGACTATAATATAACTTGACTCATAGTTTCTTAAACTGACTGAGAGTTGTAAAAGATATCTGAAACAATAAAAGTATACTGCATTTAATCAAAATTCACCATTCTTTCTTGACACCCAAAGAATTATGCAGAATAAGAGAAAACAGCAGTTCAGATGTTCTTTTAGGAAAATTAATATAATCTTGCTTTAGAAAGATGAATTGGAGTGGTTACAAAACAAGTTTTCACTTTAAAAAGTATACACCCTAAAGAACACTAAAGAATGAACCTTAGTGATATTTAAAAAATGATTTTATTTACATAGCACTTTTTACTCTATTCATCAAGGTACACCTACACTAAACAGAGCTCGCTGCATTAGAAAAATCCTCTTACCTTATGTTCAAATGGAGCACCATAGTAGCCATCATTCAGCCCAAAAATTATTTCATTTTGGTTGCGGGCATGAATCTAAGAGAGGAGGAAAAACACTCTATCAGTTCTTCTCATTCCAATGAAGTTCTAATACGAGCAGAGAATAGCAGTTACAATAGGATCTACCTCAAAGCTGAGAAACAGGCCGGCGAACCTAACAAGCTAGCAGCAAACAAATCACTTAGCATAAAACGAGGTAATCAATTGAGAGTTTCCTGCTTTAGTTAAAGGCCTCATAAAACCATCCCATGAGATTACAGCCACCATAACTCACATATACTTTCCACAAACACTTTTTTGAGGTTGTTATGGAAAGACTGTTCTTGAAATACAGGGAATTCAAAGATACACTATACATTTTCTGAGCTCAAAAAAAACCCACAATCCAATCTGTAAGAGCGCTTTAAAAAATATGAAATCCTAGAAAAAACATAAAAGATTAACATCATTTTCTATTTTCAACAAGACAGTTCAAAGATAGTAATATGAATCCCTAAAGTCTTCAACTGTCTACTTAACTACTGTCTGCATACCACTCTCCTCCAAAGGAGACCTGTTTGAGCTTCAGTCGGTGCCATCTCAAATTAAATCTCACCTAAGAGCTGGAAGTATTAAAACTTTAAAAATTAAAGAACTGAGATAAAAAAATAACTCAAAATAGCATCAAGTATCCAACTGTAAAACATAAAAACAGATTTAGTTACTTGATCAGAAAGAGTTACAGCTAAAAAATTTTTTGATTGCATCTGCGGTGAAAGACTAAGGGTTCAAGTGGGAGAAAACCAAGAAGGGTTACCAGAAAAGAATACTTGAACTTCTCTAGCTAGAGACAGGCTAGCCAAAGCCAGCAGCAGAAAATGCCTGTGAACATTTATCTTACTTCTCTATCTCCTACCTCTATTACCTAGGCAAAATTAATCATAAGTTCCCTGTTTAACTACATCATTTACTAACCAAATATAATACCAAAATATGTGTCTGCAATAATAAATGCATTAATGAAAACTATGTATTAATCTTCAAGTATTTCATTTTATAAGACAAAAGAGAAAATGATATGATATAAAATCAATTTGTAGATCAGAAGGGATTTGAAATTTTACAAACATAAAATATTTCATAGACATATATACCTAGGAGGAAAAAAGATTAAAATCATATGCATCAGAATGTTAACAATGGTTGTTTACACAGAATTTTTTATTCTGTTCTCTGTGCTTTTCAAAATATTTTAAATTATCCACAAAGAACATGCATTACTTTCAAAATCGAAAAAATATTTACCATTAAAGAAACTGGGGTCAGTGGGACTATGGGCAGGAGCAAATCTAACATGAAGGTAAAATTCCCAAAGCATAAGCTTCATGAAAATAAGCATTAGTTTGTTGAAAAAATAATGGACAACACAGTTTTAGTACATGAAAAGATACTGGACTAAAAAACAAAAAATCAAGTGATCTAGGTTCTAATTCCAACTTCAACTGTTTCATAAGAAACTCTGACTTGTTTATCTTTATAGCCCTGGTGCATAGTACTCCCACCCAACATGTAGTAATCTATGTCAAGGGTTTGTGCTTTCATTCCCTCATCAGCCAAAAGCAGAAAACATTCCTTGTTCTACCTGATAGGGGTGTCAAACATGAAATGAGGTAATTGAATATGAAAGTACTTTTGGAAGTTAGACACAAACAATATTGGTGGGATAAAAATCCAATAATATATCAAAATCAGGCAATCATAAAGCTCAGAAAGATTCTCTTTGTTCCTGACTAATAAACAAAAAGAACACATACTTAACAAAACAGGCTACATGACATTCCACACTACTATGTATCTAACAGAACTGTTAAAATTATGCTAATAAGTGTGGATATATACTATCCTTTACTCAAATTATAGATTAATGCCCAACAATTCTGCTAGAATCTTAATATTGAGACTACAGAACATAGAGCTCTATTAATCTAACCACAACCCTGTATTTTGATCCCTTTATGAAAAAAGAAACACTTTTTAAGACAGATGATTAGAGTTAGCAAAATGAATAATAAATATAATCCGAGCAATGAACAAACAATAGACTAAATTCACCAATCGCTGTGCAACCTTTCACAAATAATCTCCCCAAGCTTCCATTTTCTAACTTAAATACTGAGGAAAATAACAATACTTGCTCACATGATTATCAAAAGGCCCCAGGTCACTTTACATATGCAAAATGACTGTGTAAACATAAAAATATACCCAAACATTGAAAGGGTATACAATTGCATTTATTATTAATACAAAGTTATAACCACTTGAACTACGCACAAGAATTTCTGCCATTACATATATGGTCCATGTAAATAGTATCAACAAAATCTCCAAATTTGTACCTTGAATAGAGCTATTTTCAAACTCCTCTGCCTCTTATCAAAATCCAAGTCAAGACCAGCTTAGTCCATTACTTCTGAGAAATACGTCTGATTAGCTCTATTACCTCTAAAGTCTATTCAGGAAATTGGGTTGCATTTGTGGCTTTGACACAAAGATATGACTTTGGACAAGTTACATCATCACTCTGGACCCCAGTTCCCTCAACTAAAAATTAATGGATTAGATTATGCCCTGTTATATCATATTTCTATGCCTATTCCCATCTTTTCTTCTCTGGCTAATTCCAACGTATCATTCAAATTTCACTCTGAGATTATCAATCAATTTAACCTAATTGAAATTTATAAAACATTCCATTCAATAACAGCACATACATATTACATGTACATGAAATATTCACCAAGACAGACCCTATATCCTAGCCCAAAAAAATCTCAAAAAAGTTAAAAGAATAGAAATCATATGAACCATTTTCTCTAAATACAACAGAATTAAAGTAGAAATAAATAAAAGAAGGCTATCTGGAAAATCCATGTTTGAAAATGAACTACCTCGCACATGGTGTGTGTGGGGTCATGGAGAAGACAGTCTAGCACAGAGAAGACAAGTAATGACTCTGAGATCTTACTACACTGATGGACAGTGACTGCAATGGGGTATGGGGGGAACTCGATAATAAGGGTGAATGTAGTAACCACATTGTTTTTTCATGTGAAACCTTCATAAGAGTGTGTATCAATGATAGCTTAATAAAAAATACATATATATATATATAAATTAACTACCTCTAATACAGCTACCTCTAAATAATCCTTAGGTCAAGAAGAAATAAAAGGGAAATTAGAATATATTTTGAATTGAATAAAGATGAAAATACAGTATCAAAATTTGTGGATCACAGCTAAAGCTTAGAGGAATCCTTATTAAATGCTTATTTTAGAAAAGCGAAGCCTCAAATCAGTAACCCAGGATCCTACCTTAAGAAACTAGCACAGAAGAGCAAATCAAACCTAAAGCCAGCAAAAGGAAGAAAATAACAAAGATAAAAGCAAAAACCATTAAAATTAAAAACATTAACAATAAAGATAATCAATGAAACCAAACACTAGTTCTTTGAAAAGCTAATAAAACTGATAAATTTCTAGTGAGAGTGATCAAGAGAAAAAAGAAGACAGAAATTACCAATAGCAAGAATGAAAGAAGAAAGAATCATTATATATCCTCTATACATTAAAAGGATATGGTAATAGTGCAGAAAATTTTATACCAATAAAGTTGAAGTCATAAATGGAACTGACAAATTCTTTGGAAGACAAACTATCGAAGTTCACTTAAGAAGCTATAGATAACCTAAATAGCCCTGTATCTAATAAGGTAATAGAAGTCATACTTTTAAACTTTCCCACAGAGAAATTTTAACACCCAGATGGCATCACTGAAGAATTCTGGCAAACATTTGTGAAATAAATAATAACAACTCTAGACAAATTCCTCCAGAAAACAGAAGAGTAAACACTTCCCAATCCATTTTACCAGCATTACTCTGATACTAAACCAGACAAGGGCATTGCAAGAGTTGTACAGACCAATATCCTTTATGGACATAGATGAAAGGAGCCTGAACAAGTATTAGAGAATCTAATCCACAATGAATGAAAGGAAATTTCCTTAACCTGATAAAGGGTGTATATAATTTACAGCTAATATTGTACTTAATAATGAAAGACTGAATGCTTTTACTCAGCCTTGCCAACACAAGGATGTCCACTCTACTCACTTCTATTCAACATTGTACTGTCTTAACCAGTGAAATAAGAAAAAGATATACACATTAGAAAGGAAGAAATTAAACCATCTGTATTCATAAACAACACGAATGCCTATGTAGCAATCTACAAAAGGAATCTACAAAAAACTACTAGCTCTAATAAGTAAGTTTGGCAAAGTCACAGAATACAAACTCAATAGAGAAATGTTTCTATATACTAGCAACGAAAATTGGAAATAGTAATATTTTAAAAAAGAAAACCATTTAAATTAGCATACAAGCAATCTACATGTACAAATCTAACAAAATATGTACAAGTATGTATAATAAAAACAAAAAACTTGAGTGACATCAAAGAAGATTTCTACCAATAGCTATATGGATTGAAACACTCAATACTGTTAAGATGTCAATTCTCCCCAAATTTTCTTAGACTTCTGTGAAACTGACAAACTAATTCTGAAGTATATATGTAAAGGCAAAAGATCTAGAATAGCTGAAACAATTTTGAAAAAAAAATGAAATTAGGGGATTAATTTTACCTGAATTCAAGATATATAAAACAATGGTAATTAAGATAATGTGATGGCAGAAGAACAGCATGTGGAACAATGAAATCGAATAGAGTCCAGAGGTAGACCCACAGAAATGATTTTAAACAACTGACTCAGGTAATTAGAGAATTAATAGCCTTTACAACAAAGAGTATAGTAAGAAATGTTCATCCAGCTGCAAAACAATGAACTTTGCAACTTACATTAAAAAGTTAATTCAAAATGTATCATATACATAAATGTAAACCTAAAACTATAAAAACCATAAAACTGGTAGAAGAACAGAGGAGAAAATCTTTGTGACCTTGGGCGAGACAAAGATGTTTTTAGGTAAGACACAAAAACCATGAAACATAAAGTAAAAGCTGATACGTAGTGGACTTCACCAACATTTATAAACTTTCATTCTTTCAATAACATCTTAAAATATGAAAAGACAAGTCACAGACTAGCAGGAAACATTTTGAGGATATGCATCTTACAAAGAACTGACTCATATCCAGAATACATAAAGAATTTTACAATTCTATAGAGGATTCAAACAACCAAATTAAAAATGGGCAAAAGATCTGAACAAACATTTCACCAAAAGAATAAATAGAGAGGAAGAGAGAAAAAGAAAGATGACAATTTTTAATGCTCAACATCATTTCATCACTAAGGAACTTCAAATTAAAATCACAAAATATCACTTCAAGCCCATCAGAATGGAAAATAGTAAGGCAGTTTCTTATAAATTTCAACATGCACTTACCACTAGACTCAGAAATTACACTCCCAGACATTTTTACTCAAGAGAAATGACAACATTTCAAAACAAAGACTTACATTTAAATTATTCATAGCAGCATTATTCACTGTGGTAGTTACTAGACCTTATACATTTGTCAAAGTCGCTGAACTCTACGCTTTAAAAAGGTGACTTTTTTAATATAAATTGTACCTCAATAAACCTGACTTGTTAAAAAGAGAATCATGAAAAAATCAGCCCTCCTGACTATCCAGACTTGACTAAATATCTCTTCCATGTACTCCCATAGCTCTTCATGCAGCTATTCATTAATCACCTGTTTACCAAGTCTAAGTATCTCTGGATCCTTAACATTCAGAACAATGCTCTGTAGAAGCAGATGATCAATTCAGCGATTCTGACTTTATCCCAATACATGTTATCTTGCTTTCCTCTAAAAACTCATAATTCTATTTTATCTGATTTTTCTATTAGTATGTTACACCCATTTCATAGGTGAGTTTTGACTTTTTACAAATGAGTCAAAACTCATTCTAATTTCTAATCGGCTTAAAAAACATGTTTTCTCTTTCTTTTGTCCTCCATCACACAGGCCTAACCAGCTTTGTAAAACACATGACTATTGACTTTCTGAAATTAGGGAATGTTAGATATTCCCTAATGTCTAAGTTGAGAATTTCAAGAAGACCACCACCTAAGGAGTGTGAGTTGAAAAGCATGATGAAGGCCATCTTTTCTGGCCAAAAACTGTCCTACAAGACAACAGTCCTGCAACACTAATGCTAAGCACCATCCTTCACAAATGTAGATATACTTTCAGAAGAAAAATAAATTAAGTGTTTAATGTCATAGTCTATCCACAAAGACAGAAAGGGTATGTGCCTCAGTGCACGGCTCTGGTTGGCCAGCATAAAGTCAACAAGTATCTGGTGCTGAAAGAAAGGTGAAAGGCCCTAACCCAAAAGGCATTATGTTACAAGCATAATTAAGACCAGCCCCCAAACAGAGGAAAAAACACAAAAACAAAAAACAAAAAAAACTAAGAATCTGTACCAGGTAAAATTTAGTTAAGGAAAATATCTGTTACATGCATTGTTCTGGTCACTATAGAAGGACCCAAACTGAAGTATGGTAAACAAAATGAGGGCAGAGATTCTAATCTGAAAAAAATATGTAGAATTAAATTATTTCTTTAAAAGAAACATACCAGAGAGTATACATTAAACTATGTATTTTATATATATATATAATATATATATTAAGAAACATTAAGAATATTTGTATATTTGGACAACATTTTAAATTACCATTAAAAGTAGTTCCATAGGTACCACAAAATAGAAACAGTATTTACTCCAAGGTAGAGTGGGTGGTTACCAAGTACTGCATGCAAATACTAATGTGGCACAGCACAAAGAATGAATTTTTAATCACCAGGCCTGGATTTAAATCCACCGACCAATGTGATCTTGAGTTTCTTAAACTATCTGAGGGTCACCTTCCCATTTGGAAAATAAGGGCAATAATATCAACTTTCACAAGATTGCTATAAACATTAATTTTAAGAGTCTATGTCTGGGGATGACAAATAGTTTCATTTCATATGCATTTCTAATATATTGCTAGCTGCATCCTGTAACACTGTCTTAGAAGGGGTTACAGAGCAACATTCGAGCTCAGCTGGAAAAGCATACCATCCAACAGCTACATCACTCATGGGGAATGGGTAACAGTATATAAGCCAGGCATTTGTTATCCCTGTGCTCAATAAACAATAGCTCTTCTTATTCCTGGTGTACTGTATTCCAACTGTACTGGTTATAGGAGAAGTGTTTTTAGTATGTTTCTTATTTGCAAATTAATTTTCAGATTCTAGAGGTAAAATCCACCAAAACAGAGGCAGCAGAATGTTATCAGAGATCACATCCTTTCCTACAAAAAAAATCCTCTTAAAATAGCAGCTTAGTATGCTGCTTCATGTTTCCTCAGTTAAAAATTATTTTTTATACTTGGCAACATCAAATTTCTAGAATTAAGTAAACAATCATAAAAGGTCTCTTTTTATAATAGGAAATATAGACTTAGAAGAATCAACAGCAAAATTAGGTTAGTTTAAAGAAGACAATTACTCAAAACTATAGTCTAAAAATTACCTGCTGACCCAAGTATTTCAGCCCATCCAAACACACTTTCCATTCAATCAACAGCTGGTAGATGTCCTCCTTTCCACCCCATATCTTTACCACAAAACAAGACACAGATGTATCAAGACGATCCGGCATTATTCCAAAATCAAGACTCCGCCATGTTGGATTCTGTTGATGGAAATGAAAACGTGCTTTAGGAAGATTCAATTTGTTTAGTTATTTCAATTAGGTTATAAATCAATTTTTAAAAACCAAAAGACCTCATAAATATATTAAATTTCAAACTTAAATGAACCAAGAAGATGTTCCAACTAACACAATGGAGGTGATAATAGCAGAGGCACACCTTTGAGATTTCGCAGGTTCAGTTTCCGACCACCACAATAAAGCAAATACTACAATAAAATTGGTCAAATGAATTTTTTGGTTTCCTAATGCATATAAAAGTTATGTTTTTTTAAAAAAAGTTATGTTTAAGGCAAAACAGAAGGAACAAAACAGCAGTGGACTCATAGACACCAAGAAGGGACAAGTGGTTACCAAGGGGGAGGGGTTGGGGAGTGTGGGGGCAAAGGGAAAGGGGATTAAGGGCACAATAATTTGCAATCAAAATACAGGATGGTCATGGGGGATAACAGCACAGCACGGAGAATACAGTTAATGATTCTGTAACATCTTAACTACATTGATGGACAGTGACCACACAGGGGGGGTGAGGATTGATAATATAGGTAACTGCTGAACCACTGTGTTGTGTATTTAAAACCAATATAAGATTGTATTTCAACGGTACTTTAATAATTTAAATAAGCATGACATAAAAAAAATAGTAATGTTTATACCATACCATAGTCTATTAAGTATGCAAGAGGATTATGTGTAAAAAACAATGTACATGCCTTAATTAAAAATACTTCATTGCAAAAAAAATTGCTAATCATCATCTGAGTTTTCACCGAGTTATCATCTTTTTGCTGGTGGAGGGTCCTGCTTCAATATTGATGGCTCCTGACTGATCAGGGTGGTGGTTGCAATTTCTTACAATAAAGGCAACAGTGAAGTTTGCTGCATCGGTTGACTCTTCCTCTCATGAACGATTTCTCTGTAACATGTGAGGCTATTTGATAGCATTTTATCCACAGTAGAACTTCTTTCAAAATAGGAGTCAATCCTCCAAAACCCTGCTGCTGCTTTATCAACTGAGTTTATGTGATACTCTAAATCCTCTGTTGTCATTTTAATAATCTTCACAGCATCTTCACCAGGAGAAGATTCCAACTCAAGAAACCACTTTGCTCATCCCTAAGAAGCAGCTCCTCATCCATTCAAGTTTTATCATGAGTTCGCAGCTATTCAATCACATCATCAGTCTCTACTCCTAATTCTAGTTCTCCTACTATTTCTACTATATCTGTAGTTACTTCCTCCACTGTAGTCTTAAGCCCCTAAAAGTCACTCATGAAGTCTGGAATCAACTTCTTCCAAAGTCCTGTTATTGACATTTGACCTCTTCCCATGAATCATGAATGTTCTTAATGGCATCAACAATACTGAATTCTTTCCAGGAGGCTTTCAATTTATGTTGCCCAGATCCATCAAAGAAATCACTACATCAGCCTTATGAAATGTATTTCTTAAATAATAAGACTTTGTAAGAAATTACCCCTTGACCCATGGCTGCAGAATGTATGCTATGTTGGCAGGCATAAAAACAACATTAATCTCGTACATCTTCATCAGAGCTCTTGGGTGACCAGATGCATTGTCAATGAACAGTAATATTTTGAAAGGAAATATTTTTCTCTGAGCACTGGTCTCAAAAGTGAGCTTAAAATATTCAGGAAACCATGCTGTAAACAGATGTGCTATCACTCAGGCTTTGTTTTTCCATTCACAGAGCACAAGCGAAGTAGGCTACACATAATTCTTAAGGACTCCAGGACTTCCAGAATAGTAAATGAGCACTGGTTTCAACTTAAAGTTGCCAGCTGCATTAGCCCCCAACAAGAGAGTCAGCCTGTCCTTGAAGCTTTGAATCCAGGTACTGACTTCTCTCTAGCTAGGAAAGTTCTACATGGCAATTTCTTCTAACAGAAGGCCGTTTTCATGTTCATTGAAAATCTGTGGTTTAGTGCAGCTCCCTTCATAAATCATCTTTGCTAGAGCTTCTGGATAACTTGCTACAGCTTCTACATCAGCACTTGCTGCTTCACTTGGCACTGTGCTGTTATGGAGACGGCTTCTTTTCTTAAACCTCATGAACCAAAGTTCACTAGCTTCTAACTTTTCTTCAGCAGCTTCCTCACCTCTCTCAGCCTGCATGGAAGTGAAGAGAGAGGGCTTGCTCTGGATTAGGCCTTAAATTACGGAAATGCTGTGGCTGGTTTGGTTGTCTGTCCAGACCACTAAAACTTTTTCTGTATCAGCAATAAGACTATTTCGCTTTCTTATAATTCATGTGGTCACTGGAATAGCATTTTTTATTTCTTTCAAGCACTTTTCCTTTGCATTCACAACTTGGCTAAGTATGTGGCTCAAGAGGCCCAGCTTTTAGCCTATATCGGCTTTCGACATGCCTTCCTCACTAAGCTTAATCATTTCTAGCTTTTGATTTAAAGTGAGAGAAATGTAACTCTTCATGTTACTTGAACACTTAGAGGCATTTTAGGATTATTAATTGACCTAATTTCAATATTATTTTATCTCAGGGAATAGGGAGGCCCAAGGAAAAAGAGAGAGATGAGGCAACAGCCAGTTGCTCGTACAGTCAGAACACAAACAACACTTTTCAATTAAGTTCACCACCTTATCCATTCATGGTACCCCCCCCCAAACAGTTACAATAGTAACATCAAAGATGACTGGTCACAAATTACTGTAACAAATATAATAATAATGAAAAAGTTTGAAATACCACAAGAACTACCAGAATGTGACCTGAGACACAAAGTGAGCAAATGCTGTTGGAAGAGAAGACTTGCTGGACACACACCTTCAATGTGTAAAAACACAATATCCAAGAAGCACAATAAAACCAAAGCACAGTAAGACAAAATATGCCTGTATTTCTGAACTTCTCTGATTATTTATCAGGGACATTAGAAGGAGCATATATTTTAATCTCTCATTAATATGGCTTCATATAGTAATTCATTTGTTTATTCAACACTTAAAAAGGTTCCACAGTGGCACAGAAAGCAGGAGTAAACTTTGAAGGAAAGGGGGAAAGTCATCACAGAGGCTGTGAAACTGGTTTTTAAAGGACAAATAGGATTTCACCAGGTTTAAAATAAAGAGTCTGGGCAAAGGCACCACAATAAACAAGGGCTCAGAGGTGTGGTATAGCAAGGTGTGGTCAAGGAACTAAGACAACTGCTGGAATACAACACAAGAGAAGCAGGACACAGAGCTGGAGAGGCAAACAAGGGACAAACCGAAGGATTTTTTTATGCCTTGCCAAGGAAGCAGTCCTTTATTTACTCTGTACAAGAGGTAAGGCCATTGAAAAGTTTAAGCCCAGCTTTATCTGTTCATTAACAGAATCATTCAGATAGTTAAAACACTTTGAAAAGTCAAAATGTTACGGAGCTTTAATGACATCAATGTAAATGAACTACAATGCATCAATCACTCACTCTCATTTATTTCACCTATATTAAACATTAAGGCTTTCATTGCTGAATGTAAATATAATCAATCTTAAATTAATAATTTTCATATTATATAAATCAGTAAATCAAAGCATCCTCATACAAGGGTAACAAACTGCTCTTGGCTTTGGGGCAGCTATTTTCCTGTCAGAAGCCCGAAGGGAGTAGGCTAGTCCTTGTTTCTGTTGAAGGGGGTATACCGATGTGTGCATTTCTGTGGATTTGGTTGTTGAGGTTTCTGGAGAGAAGACATCACTTTCAGTTTCACAGCACTTATGTCTGATATGTCTTTTTCACTTACATGTTGGTATTTCTATTGTCTAATTTCCTTCCACTAAAATAAAAGTTCTGATAGACAGGAATATTGCCTGACTTGTTTACTGCAAGATCTCCAAAGCTCGAAAAGTACCTGGTATTGATTCAATAAATATTTGCTGAATGAGTGGTGAATGTCCAGTTAATGGATATGGCCGTTTGAGGATACTGAAAGACTATCAATAAAAACAAAGGATGGCAACATAGTAAGCACATTCATGCAATCAGTTTTTTATACTGGATCATATAAAAACCAAATTCCAATCATCCAAGAATTTCAACCTAAGGTCAATAGAATTCCATTTGTAACTGACTCCTGGGATCTATCACACTGTAATTGTTTTAGAAGCCCTGCTACGTGGGGTAGAGTTTTACTTAAATATTTGAGCACAAACTCTGACCAATCACTGACTGACCACTCAGCTATGCAGACACTGAAGTAAGTGGTCACTAGAAAGGTAGACAGACTCAGGAACAGCAGCAGACAAACAACCAGTCACAGGCTTGTGAAGAATCACTTCACTTCAGCCTTTGCTCTGTCAAATGAAGGGAACTGAGAGGCAGTGTGATAGAGAAGCAAGTGCTATAATTAAGCTACACTGCTAATTACATAGTCCCCTCTGTGTCTTAGAATATTCAGCTATACAAACTGGAACAACTGTCAACTTACAGGGTTTTTAGAAAGCTTAAACAGAATAATAACTAATTATAGTAATAGCTGCCATTTTAACACTTACTAGTGATGGATACAAGACAAAATCAGGTAATACATGAAAAGGACATAGTTGAATGCCTATCCTAGCATTAGATAGCAGAAGCATCTAACCTGTTTTAAAAAGTAGCCCTGTTCATCTTAACAGCAAGTCCACATGAGGTAAATAAGACAACTTGTTAACCTCAATAGTTAAAAAGACAAAAATACCATATTTCATCAAATCCTAGATACCACCAATTATGATATATCATTGCTGCATGTACCATTAAGAAAAAAAAAATGATTTTGATATGCCTCTGGATTTCTAAGATGTTTAATTGTGAAAAAATGTGCATCTTAGAATCAATAAACACAGTAGCTAAGTGTCTTGTCTAAGGTCTCCTAGCAAAAACAGCACTAGAATTTGAATTCTCTAGGTCTCTAAATAATTTGTCTCATTTGCTCTTTCTTGTTTAGTTGGTTTTTATTTTTTTCTCCCCACCAAATCA